CTACTGCGTAACCGCGGACAATGGTATAAACAAATAAATCTTGTATAACGTTAGGCGATGTGTCTTAATGGATGACCTACCCAGAGACCTAGGAATGTGCGTCCGAGGTGCCAGATAAGCCGCAAACAACACACAGGCCAGGTACCCGATGTCGTTGGCTGCCATAATGATGCCGGTTTGGTATGAACTGAAGCCAAACTGTCTCTCCAGTGTTGTCACCTGTAATAAAGTCAAAATAACTGTTGATGCAGAGATATTGAACCACACGGTTCTGTTCAGTTGCAAGCAATTTGGCAGCTTGCCGCTTTGCGTTAATTCGCTGGAGTGAAGTATAATGAATTAGCCGACGAGATGTTAAGTAATGTGCATACGGGTAGAAGCATGGATAGGCTATTGAAATCTTCTACTCTGTCGGGAATAGGTTGGTAAAAGGTAAGGACCCTTTTCCGCGAAGTTAGGGGTGTTGGGCATATAGGGCTATACTTAAATTTTATAGAACAATCGGCACTCGGTGGGTTATACACTTGGTACCCATTTAAGGCTGGGTCCATCTGGAAGCCAAACTTATTTTTGAAAGAAAAATCTGGCTCCGTCAGGACCCGAACCAGCGACCTTTGGATCGGCAGTCGAGAGCCTAGCCGCTACACCACTGCGGCTTCCTGTAACCAAAGCTTTGTGTGGAAAATAAGTAGAGGTACCTGGGAGTGACTGCTGCATCGAAGGACTGAGCACGCATGGGAATGTCCAATCTGCAAAGACGTTGTGATAAAATACCATGTATACCGTAATATATACAGCTGGCTTGCTTTGCGAAAAAAATTTTTTTTTGTCAGATTTAACTAGGGGAGCTTTGGGTTATAATTGTGACTAAATTATGTGCGCTAAACAAACATATCTTAGAATTGCACGCCACTAAGATGCTCTTAAAAAAGGACTCCTGCAATGTTGATGCGGCTAAAAACGACAGACCCAAATACTAGCCCGACCGGCGACGAAATCGTCTACTGACCAGCCAATAGCTTGCTTTGATATCGACAGAGCGCTGTGCAAACTACTGAACCCAAAATGTTCTGGTAAAACCCAGACAACTAAAGATCGATCGATCAATTTGTCCCATCTGGGCCGCGACAGATGTTTACAATACCACTCGGAGATTAATAAATCTCTGTCTGCACGACCAACCAACATGGGAGATCCCAAATACCCCATTCAACCTCTAGAGAAAGTATATATAGGGCACCCGAGGCTGCATCACCAGCCATGTGTAACCAGCAAGACTGTACTGATATAGAGTTAGTTGTGAATCCTCTTACAGGACGTTGCAGAACCAAACCCCATAATTTTTTTAGCTGTTGTGAAAATAATGTCCACAGATAAAACTGGCTGTCACCCAAAAAAGAAAATAAAAAAAAATAAATGATGAAGAAATTGAAAAGGTCACAACCTTTGAATATATAGGCTCTATATTAAACAGCAAGGGAGACTTTTCAGCAGAAACTAAAACGAGTATGGCCATAGCAATGCAAAGATTAAACAGCCTTAAAAGTCTAAGGAGAAAAAAAAATGAGAATTTTGAGAGTATGCATCTTCCCTGTGGCTACATACGGATGTGAGTCATGGACTATCTCTCAGTCCTTAAGAAAGAGATTAGGGGCTTTTGAGCTGAAATGCTATAGAAAGATTCTCAGAATATCTTGAACAAAGAATATAAGAAATACTGACATCTTGAAAGATCTGAACATCAAGGAAGATTGGCTAATAAACAGCATTCTTTCTCAAAGCTGAAATACTTTGGTCATATCAAGCGCCACAATAGATTGGAAAAAAATTGTATAGCAGAAGGCATGGTACCAGGAAGGAGGGGCAGGGGCCGACCGACACGAAGATGGGCACAGGATATAAGTGAATCCTTGAGTATGAAAATACGAGAACTGGCGAGAGACCGAGTTTCTTTCAGGCAGACTGTGATGAGAGCGACGTTCTGCGAAGGACCTGCTACATGATAATGATGGTTTTTCTAGGCAAATTTAACTAACATCCACCGGTTTGCCATTGCTTTGTGGACGGTCCGCTTCTCGATACCATTGTCGAAACCAACGCATGACGTAAGGCCCGCAGCTGGGATCAATCCCGGCACCCCGGCATTACGAAGCGCGTTCTCAACGCCTAAGCCACAGACGCCTACGTACGGATAAGATTCCATGTTTTAAGAGGCTAAGAAATGCTGGGGATATTTTTCCGTTCCCAAGTTTGCGCTGTGTTCCCCTTGCTCTTTGCCTATTATATTTCTTTAAGGGAAGGCAAAGAGATACTGCAAAAATCTGGATGGTTCGGCCACACGAATGAGACAAGGGGCGGGCAAGAGAGGTAAAGTGATCAGTGATTCTGGCGATTGAGATAGCGAAGCATGACAGAATACGTTTATTGACAAGGCACCTAATAATGATGACATATCAACCGACTTGGATGTTGAGAAAGTCTGCCAGAGCAGAATTCACTTAGTCCAAAAAACCAATCTCCAGGGAATTAACATAATTTGTTACTGCAGCTTACCTGAGAATTAACATAATTTGTTTAAAAGCCAACCTGGTCATTAACGTTCTCTATTACACAAAATTACATGAGAATTCACACAACGTATTAATGCAACTTACTTGAGATTTCACATAACGTGTCTAACAACTTACCGGAGAATTCACGTAATGTGTCTAACAACTTACCTGAGAATTCACATAGTATGTCTAACAACTTACCTGAGAATTCACATAGTATGTCTAACAACTTACCTGAGAATTCACGTAATGTGTCTAACAACTTACCGGAGAATTCACATAATGTGTCTAACAACTTACCTGAGAATTCACATAGTATGTCTAATAACTTACCTGAGAATTCACGTAATGTGTCTAACAACTTACCTGTGAATTCACATAATGTGTTCAACAACTTCCTTGGGAATTCACATAATGTGTCTAACAACTTACCTGAGAGTTCACATAGTATGTCTAACAACTTACCTGAGAGTTTACATAATGAGTCAGAGTTTGCGTCATCAAACTGGCAAAGCCGTAGAGAACGGAGAAGACGCCAATTTTTGCCAGAGGTTGCAAGCAGGCCGGTCGGTACATCCAGAATCCACACTGTGTATCCATCTTACAGCTAGCTCCTAGACTGGATGGCGTTTGCTCGTTGTCATTGGCGGGATCTGTCTTGGCCACCGGCTTGTAGATTGTGAAACTCATTGTGTGACTGGGTCTTACTTTCTGAGCTCACTGTCGTTGTGCTATATGCTTTATAGAGACAGGTTCAGGTTAAAGTAGAAGTCGACAGTATCGACATCATTGTACAGGGTTTCATCCCATATGACTAGGTCTCTCTCTCTCTCTCCCCTGAACGACTACACGCCTGTAGAGAGAGTCGCATAAAGCACGAACTCCGTAACTTCGGTCGATGATCCCAATCGATGTCCATAAAAATTGCACTGGTGAACTGAACGACACCGTAAAACGAACACACGACCTCTAGAGTAGATGGCAAACGGCTTGACTACTGCGCCACAAAGACCTTCTGTATAGAGACAAGTATAAGGGAATAGGATCGGGAGGTCCTGGCTTCAGGTCCTGACGGTACTAGACTGTCTTTTAAAAATGACCGTTTCTCCTAGGTTGACCCAGCCGTGAATGGGTACCAGGTAGAGTCCTAGGTTGACCCAGCCGTGATTAGGTACCAGGTAGAGTCCTAGGTTGACCCAGCCGTGGTTGGGTACCAGGTAGACTCCTAAGTTTACCCAGCCGTGAATGGGTACCAGGTAGAGTCCTAGGTTGACCCAGCCGTGAATGGGTACCAGGTAGAGTCCTAGGAAGTAAAGGCGGTCGGGCGTGATGCTAACCACATCATCCACCGAGTGCCAAATAGTCAATAAAATAAGATCTAGCCCTATATGCCCAATATGCCTCAAGCTGGGGAAAATTGTCTTTTTTTTTACTTTTTTTTAAAAATATGGGAATAAAGATAATTTACAAAAATATAAGTATGCAGACACACAAATAGCACCAGAGACAAGATGTCTCACGGAGATACAGAGCAGAATAGGACAGGTTACAATTCGTTTTAGATAATAAATGAAAATCGTCTTTTGCAAAGAATCCGTGTCTTGGGAGGTTAGAAAGAAGAGTTTGGCCATTCTATTATTAAGTCACGTGTTAGAGAATTTATATAAGAATGTAGATATCTAGGAAGTATATTCTCGGTGGGGTGGGAGAATAGATCGAACGTAAGTGTGAGCGCCAAGAAACAGATGATAACATCATATTCATTCCAACACAGCGTTACCTGTGATAGGCCTGGACATTGTCAAAGTCTAATCTACGTAAAACACAATAAACGAGCTACTGTTTGCAGAGGATCAGTGCCTGTTCTATAATAAGGGAAGTGCACGGCAAGAACATTTGAACAGGCTCAGTTCAACATGCAGAAGATATAACATGAAAATATATACTACAACAACTGACCCATCGTTAAATTTATTGAGAAGCAAAGAATGAAATGGTTTGGTCACCTAATGAGAATGGAACCAACGATGCCAGCATCAAGAGCATACAACATGAAAATCGAAACACCAAGAGGCAGGGGAAGACCAAGAAGAAAATGGATTGAAGGAGTCACGGACAACTTGAGACTTCATAACATCACGGCATATGAAGCGACTGAGCGCGCCCTGGCTCGGTTGCCGATCATCTGATAGACTGCGACGCCTAGCGGCACAAGCAGATTTTGACAAAAGAAGAAGAGGAACTCAGGTCAGCAGAATTCCTAGTCCGCTACATATCAGGTTAAATGGTACTTGTCTGAATCAAGTTAGAGAATTTAAATATCTAGGCAGAATATTCTCGTAGGATGGAAGAATAGATCAGGAAATAGAAACAAGATGACAACGAGCCAGTGCACATATATTCCAACTGACACCCTTATTAAGACATCCAAACATAAGTATCAGAGCCAAGAAACAGATTATAAACAGCATATTCACACCAATACTGTGCTACCAGTGCCAGACTTGGACATTATCAAATGCTAACCTACGTAGGTCGGCGTCTGTAGATTAGGCGTTGCGAATGCGCTTTGTAATTCCGGGATGCCGGGTTCGATCCCAGCTGTGCGCCTTGCGTTGGTTTCGACAGTGGTATCGAGAAGCCGACCGTTCAGAAAGCAATGGCAAACTACTGGACGTAAACTTACCTGGAAAAACCACAACTGCCAAAAAAATAATAGGATTGCTGCAACCTCCTGTAAAGGATGCGCAACTAACTAACCTACGTAAAATTAACACCTGTACAATGAGATGCCTGAGAAAAGCTGCCAGTTTAACTTTCTGAGACAAAGTTATAAATGATATTATGAGACAGGCTGTAGCAACAACGCGATGTAGCAAATTAACTGAGAAACAGAAGATCGAATGGTTTGGACATCTAGTAAGAATGCAGCCAGAACAGTTACCAACGCAGGCGCTAGACATGAAAACATTCGACGTGAAAGCAAGAGGTCGCCCTGGAAGAAAACGGACTGATGGCATTAAAGAGCTCTCCGCTGACACAGAATCACAATAGCCAATGCTGCCCATCTAGCAATGGATCGCAAACTGTTCCTGCCCACGCCGCTTAAGGGCAGAAGTAGAAATGATGAGTAGGATGATATAGTCCCAGACAAGCAAAAATAAGTTTTGAACCTGCCCGCTGGCTCGAAGGTCTAAGGTTCAAATCAGCATAGAAACATGTTTCTATACAGGTTTAAAAATGGACATCGATTCCTATGTCAATCCTTCCTGATGTCAGAGGGTCTGGCCGGCTGACTACACTCACATGAAAGACAAGACGGACATATAACCAGATTGTGACCGGTACCATCAGTATTGGAACTCTGCGCTGGCTGCTGAAGATGAGGGCGGAGCATGCATGGGAATGCCCCTAGTGCTGTGATGTCAATTCTTGACTCAACTTAGATCAACTCCTTTCTGACATAGATACCAGATAATGTCCTGCAAAGTAAATACGGAGGCCATAATGCTGATCTGGTCACCCACCGACTGCCGGTTGGTCTAAGAAAATGTAGAACTAATACTATATGTTGAATGTGCAAGCATGCATAAAAATGCCCCCTATTTTTTTCAATCCTACGTATGGCTTACTTTCACTTTGTTTTCTTTTATCTCAAGGCGATGACCTTTTCAAACAAAAATACATTTTTTCAGGGTGTGAATAACTTTAACATAGAGAGTCTGGGATAGAAATAATTAAACAAATAATTTTGAAACAAAGGGTTAATATAACACGATATTATCCCTGGGATAACTAAAAAAAAAAGTTTAATGTTCGGTATGGTACTGAAAGGGAGTCGCCGTGGCGTAGCGGCTAGACGCTGGCGTGCGGATCGGAAGGTCCTGGGTTCGTTTCCTGGCGGAGCCAGACTTGTTTCAAAAATGACCTTGACTCCCAGGTCCACCCAGCCTTGAGTGGGTACCGGGTGCAGTCCCGGGAAGTAAAGGCGGCCGGCGTGATGCCGACCACATGACCCACCAAGTGCTGACTGGTCTATAAAAAATAAAGTTCTGGCCCTGTATGCCCTGTGTAAAAGGGTCCTAATACTTTTTTTAATATTACTGAAAGAATGAACTCTAAGACAGAAATTATTGAATGAATGAATTAGGAATCAACATTACAGCACTCCGGACATTTCCTTAAGCGTTCCGTCCCAATATTCAGCAGCAAACGCAGAGTTTCAACTTCAGTTGTACCAGTAACAGTCTCATTGTACATTTGTCTCGCCTATATGCTGGGTGTTGAGCGTCGGCCAGATCTCAAAAGACCCTTACAACATCTCCCTCGTGATGCATCAGTTTACCACCAAGTGGTGCAGAACCAGCTAGTCTATCTGCCACTGCAACGAATGAATGAATGAGTCCAGAAATGACATTACTGCACTAGGTACATTCCCGTACGTGCCCCGTCCTCTTTCTCAGTAGAAGAAGAGTTCCCATACATAAAGTCAGGTCGTTGGAGGGGCGACGCTTGCTGGTGGATGTGATGTTCTAAGTCCCTTCCCCAGCTAATTGTGAGGGTACTGTTGGGGTGACCGTTTATCAACCCTCACATAATGCTTCAGGTCAAAATTGACGCTAGGCACGGCCACTTTGTTTTAGCCGTGGCAAATTTTTTTTGCTTCTGCCAGACGGTGGCCGTTGCATTTTTGCTCCATTTGTAGACTGGAAGGATATAGTTTCGTTGAGTGGATGGCGTCACACTCTGAGCTGCGGATTTCATTTGAACTGTGATAAACATTTTATGTGTTTTTCGTTGGCACAGGAGCAGAGTCACTATGGGGTAACCCGTTTGCTATGAGGCTGAAACTAAGATTACCAGATTACATATGGTGTCAGTGTTAGCCTCATTGGTCCTGACTCTCTGCTTAGTCTCAGCTGGATCATTCTCTCCTGATACGGATGCTGTCTTTTGTGTTGCACATTTCAATTGATCGCAGAGAGCCTTGCCCACGCCCGATTTATTATAAAGTAGCTCACCATTCAAAGGCCCAGCTGCAGCTAATCAATCAGCCTACACACCGGAATGTCCTTAGAAGAAAAATCAACTTTTCAACATTTATGATATTCAGTAATCAGGTAATCGCACTTTCATAGCAAACATGTCACCGCTTGGTTGCTCTGTTCATGTGCCAACGAAAACCACACAGAATGTCCATCACTGTCCCGTGTGGAAGAAAGGGACACAGACCGCACAAGGCAGCTGTCAGAAGTGACAACTCAACCAGTCCGACACTAACAATTCAGTTCATCATCGATAGAAGCAGCAGTTGAAACAGATCACTAGTGATTAATCTCATGGCACCACCAGTTCTCTGGCAACAGGCCACCAGCCATTTTCTAAATTTGCAAACCACAACATACATCATGTTGGATACAGTCGACTGTCACTCCAAATATAATTCACAGCTTACAGTGTCGCGCCACGCACTTAACTCAGAAGCTTTGTGAAAAAACTGTATCCTTTCAGTCAACATTGGGAGGAAAATGCAACGACCAATTATTGAAAGACAAAACACTTGCTACGATTAAAATTGGTAAACCAGCCTATCCCCCATATTTTCCGGCAGTCATATCTGAAATAACAACGACTCAATTAGCATCACTGAAGTGGAAAAAAAAACATAATGAGAAACTTACCATCTGAAA